TAAAAGTAGTTCAAAAGACTTGGCTTAATTTTTTTATTTAAACATAAATATGAATATTTTATGCCTAGCTATGGGTCGTTGACCTGAGTCAATCCAGTTTGACCGGTTGACCCTTGACCCAATTGCTATTTCGGTTCAACGTCCGGTCCGGTTTTCAAATATTGTCGAATATTCAAAATTGTTAATAAAATATTCATATTGTTATAAAAGGAATGTGAAAGTGAACATCGAATACATAAAAAACTATCGTCTCAATAGTAAATACTTAACCAAAACAAATGATTAGAACAATGATATAAATTCATAATCGACCAAGTACTTTATGGAGGTAATGGTAAGACACTAAGGTTAGAGGCTTAGAGGGTAAGCAATATTTTTGGATATATGGGCCAAGTATAAATGTATAATGGGCTGGGTAGAGGATTATATATATTAAAATAATTTTAATTTGGTATTCGAATAATGGATATTCGGATAAACGGTTATTTAATCAAATGTATATCCAGATTGGATATGCAATTACCAAATCCGTATCCGTTTAGTAATCGGATGTTCTTAATCGGATACAGATAATATCCATAATCCATTTAAAATGGATGCAAATTATTCCCGTTTAAACGTATACGGATGCAGACATTAATCAGATCGGTTATCCATTGACAACACTAACCATAAGCATCTAATTCCTAATCCTATTCAATCTCGTCAACGGATGCCACTCATACTTGTCCTCGTATGACTTCATTTCAAATCCTATCCAATCTCGTTAGTCCACTCATCCACCGCAACATTCGCATCACTGCAACATGCAGTTGTCGAACATGGGTCTTCTTAACCACCCAACACTTCGCACCTTACAACATAGCTGGTCTAACTATGGATCACTACGGATCAATAGAACTTCCCTTTCATCCGAGCTCAAATCTTCTAGTTGCATAAAACCCTTGAAGCCAACCTCCACTTTGCCCAAGCTGCTCCAATTTAATGGGAATTATCTATGTAATTCCCCATTTGCCTCGATGGCTGAACAAGGATATCAAAACTTGTCTCTCTTAAGCATTGGGAGAGATCAATCCTAACTTCCACCTCTTTGATTCCATCACTCGGTTGTTGAAGCATCATTCCATGTATTTAGTCTTAGTCATTCTCAATCTGAAACCTTTGGACTCTAGGAACAGTGCCAAATCTCTAAGTTTTCATTGAGTCCCTAACGTGTCTCGTTGATTAACCCAATATCGTAAGCAAAAACCATGCACGAGGGCATGGTTATCAAGACAACAAGTCGAGTTGAGCCACTGAAGAAGAGACTAGTAGACTAGTCGAATAGTCGGCCAACAAGTCCTAGACTAGTCGAAAAATCACAATTGGTAATGAATTTTTTAAAATTATATATATCACCATTCACCAACTCAATTGGCGCCCCTACGGTGCTTGATCCCAAAATTGATGGTACCTACCCCCCTTAACCAAACGGTAAACCCCCTAGCCTGGCCGTCCCTAACGCACCCCCGACCCCTCCAATTGCACCCCCGCATTGAGCAGGACATTTTTTGAAAAAGCTCCTTCTTAAACTTTACAGGAATTTGGATCGAGTCGGGTAAGGTAAAATTCGGTAGGGTGACAAACACAGATTAGGTGGTGAATAGGCGATGCTTAGGTGCTAATTTGCACAATCGAACTCGACTATGTCTAAGTGCCAACCCTTGGTGTAACTACACCTCTAAGAGAATGGCTCTAGTCACCCCGATTGTCTTTATCACCTCCTGCCAATTCTTGCTAGGTCTACCGCTTCCCCTACTCCCGCCCACCACCCCACCACTGTAAGCATTTCACATCTCTAGACAGAAGCCTCAAAACACCGTCACCACACATGCCCAAACCACCTCAACCCAGCTTCCCATAACTTATCCTCAATAGATGTCACTCTTACTCGTCCTCACATAATCTCATTCTGTTTCCTATCCAATCTTGTCAGTCCACTCATCCATGGCAACATTCAAATCACTGTAGCTGCAGCTGACTAATGTAGGCCTTCTTAATTGCCGAGCACTTCGCATCGTACAAATTACGGCATACTATGGATTAGTAGAACTTCCCTTTCATCCTAGCTGAAATCTTCTTGTTGCATAGAACCCTGAGGCTAATATCTCTACTTCGCCAAAGTTGCTCCAATACAATGTGTAACATCACTGCCTAACTCCCCATCCGCCTGGATGATCGAAAAAAGATACTTAAGCTTGTCTTTCTTTGGTACTTGGCGGGAATCACTCTTAACTTCCATCTTTGATTCCGTCATCAGCCGCTAAAGCAACATTTCATGTACTTAGTATTAGTCCTACTCAAAAACCTTTTGACCAAGATTTTAAAAGGCAAAAACTAGCCTCGAGGTGGTGGAACAAAATGGCTTGAGGCGTAAGCCTCAAGGCAGAACCAAGTGTATGCCTTAGTTCAACATTAAAAAAATAATACTAAAATATGTACTCCAAGGTAAAACAAAATGCATAATCCATTATAATGTTAAATAAATGACAAAATTAGAATTCCTAAACCTTCGTGGTGTGGCTAAGAAGGTTGATGCATTTATAAATATTACAATTCTGAATATGACCCTTACCCTTCTACAATGGTACTAACACACTTTCCCTCCACTCATCAAGCATCCTAGCCGTCCTAAAAATAATATTGAAGAGCTTAATTACCCAAACCAGCCCACTGTTATGTATAGACTTCCGAAATTCCACCAAAATGTCATCTAGCCCCAAGCTTTCCCCTTTCTCATCCTGCGGATAGCCTTTGCCACTTTTTTGTGGCTAATGCATCGGCAATACCCAAAGTCTTGATGCCTCTTTGACTGCTGAAACTCCCCTAACTTTAGCCTCATCGCATTCTGCATTTAGGTCATGGAAGTAGTCCCCTAGTGGTAAGACACCGCTAATTAGTAAAAAGTAAATTGTATCACATAAAAAATTTGACGTAAATGAACATTGTTAGTCTCCAAGTCATTTTTGTGAGGCACATCATATCATGTGATTATTTCAGTGTATTAAGTGCGGTTAGAGATTATTTTTTTTGATCAATCAAATTTTGAATTATCTTTGCCAATTTTTTCCCATTCAACTAACTTCAATAAAATTACTCTTTTTCTCCCTCTACTTAACAAAAGTAAAAAATCTTTAAAATGTTGAAAAAATGTACTTCCTCCGTCCCAGTTTGACTTTCATGGTCACTCTTTGAACTTTGACTGCATTTTATATAAAAATACATCGAATTTTTATATAAATTTAATATCAATAGATTCATTTTGAAATAAAGTTTTGAAATAATTTATTTTTATAATATGTATGTGTGTGTGTCTAGACACACACACACACACACATACTCCTTCCGTCCTAAAATTAACTTCTCACTTTCCTTTTCAGGCTGTCCTAAAATTATCTTCTCATTTCCATAAATGGCAAATAAATAAGTAGTAAAGGTCTTTTATACCTTTGAAGATCTATCCCGTCTCTAGTCTCCACTCTCCGTCATATCCTCCTCACCAATAGTTTCTAGTTGGCCTTCTCTATCTGCATCTCAATTATCTCTTCATTCACCCTACACATCCCTTCGTCTTCCATCATCTTTGAGAAGGGACAAAGAGAGATTGTGTGCTACACTGTTCAAGTAGTTTGAACTGTCTTCAACTAATTTGCATTGGACTGCTACTACTTTAATTTATGAAAGAGATCGAGATAGAAAGAAGTAGATCTAATTTGATGTTGTCTCTTTAGCTTTGGGTTTACTCATATGTGATTTTACTCTTTTCAAATTAGGACTTTTCTTGAGCTTTGACCATTTCTTCTTTGTCAAAGAGCTAGTTTCATGAAGACATTCAAGAAGGGAAATCTCAATTTTTAGCTAGTTGGGAATCATAGATCGGAGGGTTTTTAATGTTCTGCAATTTTGCTTGTTCTTTCTATTTTTTCTTCCAATGGATAATACTGATGGTCAGCATATCCTTTTGGTAAAATCTCAAGATCTAATTCAAAAATTTAAAAACAGGGGGCCAGATCTGAAACGTTCATTCTTATTCATTAATGGCATGACACTGCCAGGGGGTGGCGGCTCCGTCATGGATCCAATAAATCCAATCGGAGTGAGCGATTTGAGGACCAATAGTTTTGGATCATAGTGTAGCGACAGAGTGAGGGCATTTGTGGAAAGTCAATAAAAATTTTACACTTCCTTAAAAATCACTCCCAGTCAAAGTGGGAAACTAAATATAGGACGGAGGGAGTATATACATAGAGATATTAATTGTCAAAGTGGTGCATTGACGGAGGGAATAATATTTATTTTAACTGCTTTCAATTTTTTTTCAACTCCTTCGTACCTCTTTCCAAATTCATTTAACTTTAAGTTTCTTCTAACTCCTATCTTCTTTCAACTCCTAGCTTCTACAATTCCTTTTGGTTTCTTCCTACTCATTCCTGTTTCTTCGAACTCATTCTAGTATCTTCGAACTCATTGTAGTTTTTTCCAATTCCTCTCAAATTCTTTCATATACAACGGTGTTTTTCCAACCCAAAAGACATAGATTTACATCTTTTCAGCCATTCATGTTTTTTTCGGTGCGGATTAATACACAAATATGTTCTTTTGATATGTTTGATTGCTTGAGCTATATATGTTTTTATTTATTTTGATAAATGTGTTTTTGTTGTTTGTACTTTGAACCAAAGACTTAATGTTTAATGCCAATTAGAAAGATTTTCGTGTGCAATCTGTGAGACAAGTTATTAGGCATTGTTAATTGATGGCACTATTCTTGTGAGTTGTGAGATATTATTTTCTGCCATGTCCATTACATGATCGAAATTACATGACCAATATCAATAGTGCTTTCTCTTTCTCTCTCTCTCTCACCATGAGAGAAAAACTGAATAATTGATTAATACTAAACTCATATGTATCTTTCACATGCATTTGAATTTATTAATACGACTTTACATATAGTGCAGATATTGGAGAAGAAAGTATCTCAAGTTTCATATATGATTTTACTACTAGCATTCCAAATTTAATGGTGAGGACTTCTACTGTATCATATATGTTTTTAGGCATGTTTGTTTCAGGTTCACTCCATATATATATAATTATATATACATACATACATGCACACACACACAGATATATATATATATATATATATATATATATAGATATAT